GCAGCATAGCAGATTGTCTCCGTGGCGAAGACTACATGTAACCAGCCGTTGTACATGGCATTCTGGAGGACTGCGCTGGATGGCTGCATCACCTGGAAGTAAAATGATAAAAATTAGATGACAATACAGATTTTCCTGGCCAACGTAATTACCCACCCGGAGATTTTTTCCGTCAATAAATTCAAACGTGTGCTTCAGCAGCGGCTCTCGGGCATCTACCAGTCGGGTCAGCTCAATTTGTCGGGACGGCGACGGCCACGCCATGCGAGCAGGCCCATATCCGCTCGACGTCGCCGCCAACGCCTTCTCAGCCTTCCGCAGGATTCGAGCCAGAGTAGTCGGTGGCACTCCGAGCAGCATGCTAAGCGTGCTGTTCTCCATTTACCCGACGTAAAACACATGACGAGACCTAGGACTTGGTACAGATATCGAAGCTTGGGTGGGCAGCCCTTAGATGAAGGGACGGAATGCTGTAGAATTGTGCAAACCGGTGAAGCATCGTGCGAAGGACGCTCTGCACCAGTACCAATAGACAGTTAATACCTCGTTTTGGACTCATAAAGCTTAGAATAGGTTCTTACCTCGTTAAACTCGTTGCATTCAAGAAGTTTTGTCGTTCCCGGGCTGTACAGGGACATCCAGGCTGACTCGGTGGACTTCTCGAGACTACTCGCGGTAAGCTTCGATCGCATAGCCATCCGCCACACCTCCTTGATCATGAGCAGGAAGACTTCGTCTCGAGCGTCATCCACTTCCCTCTCGTACTTCGCGAGTGCCTCGCCCATGCACAGCAGCAGAGACGTTGTAGTGTCTTTGCCGTCCTCCATCTTGCGCCAAAGGTACTCAAAACACCGAATGAGCCACAAAGATAGAAAATGGAAGGGTCAACACCACGTTTTGTCCAGATAGAAGTGACTGGTACATTATATTTGCGCTATTAACAAGACAAGCTGGGACTGTTTTCACCGGACAGACGCTGAGTTCTTAATGCATTTGTGGTAGACGCCAGCCACAAAAATTTAGAATTTATCTTATTTAAACCTGTCTTATCCGCTGCGGATATGGTGGGTAATACTGCATTTTTGGCAGACGTCCTGTGATAAAGCTAATAGCACTTTAGAGAATATGATCAAGTTACTTCTTCATTATGGTATTAGTAGCGGTTACTGTATCTGTTATTGTATCTGGAACTATCTGTCATTATGGCTCGAATAAACTTAAGTCTACTAGCAACCGTGTTCTTATTGCAGACCTGCTAGTAGTGCATGCTTATTCGTCAAGCATATGACATCAAAAGTGTCTCACTTAAAAAACGTTTTATGGCATAATTAAAAACAAAAGTTAATTATAGCTCTCCGTTTAGCTCGTAGCTTACATAAACACTACAAAAGAAAATTATGATTGCAATCGATGCCACCTTCGCTTCGCTTGGCAGCTCAGAGTGGATACCTTGCGAGATCGTGCTATGTTTTCCGTTTGTGCTACGTTCACCACACACAGTTAACACTGTATGCCACATAAACCAATGATTGCCAATCGGGGCCGCCGTCGCTCTGCTCGACAGCCAACGATATTTCGCTCTAATTTCATGACGGACGGACTGACACCGTGCTAGCGTTGCTGTTTAAGACTAGACGGGCGCATCGTTTGAGGCGGTGGTAGCAGGTTTTAATCCCAGCTTTTTGAGCCGTCCACCTCAGCTTCGCTCCGGAGGACTACAGATTCTCTTACAAAATCAAGATGTAGTGGAATCAATACAGTTCTGGTGAGAAGATCTTTTAAACATGGAAACACATGTATTAATATGTATGTGAAGCTAGCGTTCC